TATTGAAATTGGCTACAACATTTTTTTCAGTTTGTCTGGCACATAACTTCCTAACAAATTTTATAACTCTTCTAAATACGCCTTTTTTGGATATCATATTATATTTTATAGAAATAAAAACACTATTATTTACTCTTTAAATTGTACTAAACCAAAATAATTAAATAATGAATTGTTAGACTGAAATTTACATAGAAAATAAACTATTATTGTATCATAGAAATTTAAAATAGTAATATCAATTTTTTATAAGCCAATTGCTATCATAATTGTGTACTATGAAAACAATTAAAATATGACATATTTTTTAGCTAATTTCTTCCTTTTTCTGTATCTTAAATTAATACCCTAAATGTATTTTAAGAAATTGTAAAGAGGTGTTTTCTACACTATTTAAATACTAAATAAAAACTAAACGTAAATTTAAAACTAAAAAGAAATTTACATTCATACATATAATAATTCCCAAAATCGATGAAATATTCTTTATTTTATAAATATCTAAATATAATATTGAATTTGATCTATAGTTGACTATTTATTATAAAACACTTTCCTACAATAGGTAGACGGGTATTTCAGATTATGTTATACAAGGGTAATCTTTAAACTTCAATAAATTATGAATTTATTCTCCTCTTAAATATTTAAAATTAGATTAGTTATTAAAAATTATACAAATATTAATGCGCTCATATTCTAAGCGTGTTGTAGTAATTGTACTGTAACTTTTAATAATAAATCGAAATACCTTTCATATAAAATGGATTCACATTTTGGTCAAAACAATGTTGTCATAAATCTGTAATGACAACACACTACGCGTTAAAACTCCGACTTAATTCTAATCAACCTCATCATTGTTGCTCTATTTTAAAATTGATCATTCATTAATTGAACTATGCGTAGATTCATCACATTTATGTACCAAGCCGGTATGAACACTTCATCAAAATAGCCAAAAAATGTCGAAAATTAGCTATTTTTAAATTTGTAATTTTTTTGGAGATATCCCCTACTAACGGTGAACAAGGAAAATTTTTCCTATTTTTTAGGGTAAAGTCTCAAACTATATTTGATTTGTGATCTTTCGACGTTTCGTTGAAAGAAATCGGTTCGGTGAGAGCTGAGAAAAATTTATAGACACAAAAAAACACATCATATTGTCGTAACACAATAAAAGAAAAGAAACAAACGATGTAAATGTATATGTAATTGTGATGCGAAGATGAATATGAGGATGTGGTGCCTGCTGTCTAGGTATTCACGTGCGTGTTGTCGTACAGCAGTCACCGTGCTCGGCTGACACTCCGGGTTAGCTGTGGGTGTCGAAAGGCTGTTGTTATAGGAAGTGAATAAGGGTAACACCTAGGTATGAGGTGCAGACGAAGTGCAAGACACAAGTACTTTAGTTATTAGGAGAGGATAATGAAGTACGAGGTGCAGACGATGTGCAAGACACAAGTACTTCAAAGAGAGAACGGGGTAGCCGAGTATAAGGTGCAGACGAAGTGCAAGACACAAGTACTCTGAAATGTTGTGGAAGAGAGTAGATAGGTTAAAAAGGAAAAAACAAAGACTTTACTTTAAGCAGTAAGCCGGACAGCGACAACCGAGTACTGAGACTGATGAATGACACAAGGCACTGGAGTCGACTGACCACGATGGTCAGGTCTTTTGGGTTTTTATAATAATTAGAACTATTGCTAAATTGGCAATAAATATTATTTGTTAATTCATCAGTCTCGGGCAGCGGATGAGCTGTCTGTATTTTATTAAAATAATTCTCACGATATTGGTAACGTGACACCATCACAATATTAAAATTAATACCTTTTCAGCTTCGTATCGAAGCTAATATATACGATTTTGATATAAAATCTCTTATTAATATTTTTAACTTATTATAATACTAATAATAATTGTTTTATATTGAGTAGTGATAATCTTTACGATTGTAACATAGAAGTAGTACCGGTTTACACCCTGCTCAGGTAACTCGTACAATTATAATGTAATTTTCATCAATAAAGTTTTCTTAAAAGTAATTGTGGTGTTGATTATGTCAACACCACAGTCAACCCGCAAAACAACAACTTTTATAAATAACTTTTAATAACTTTTTAAAAATGTATGGATCAATACAATTATTTTTAATAAATATGTTAGGTATTTATCTATAATTAGGTATATATATTCTTTTAATCTGCCCCTTCACCTGTCCATAGAGGGGAAATCAAAATGACGACTTTTCAAAAAAATTAAATGTCCAACTTAGATTTTGAACGAGTTCCGGAAATACTGACACTTTTATTGAACTTTATTTTGTCTTTGTATGGTACAGAACGCCGTTAGAATGATCTAGTTGACCAGTTGTTACAAAGATCATTGATTATATTATTTCGTCTGATCAATAGCATCTTGCTTTACTCACCCCCTTGCCCACCCATCACGGCAAATCGATGACCTCCGTGTCGGTTTTCATCCGTGTATTGTTCATTGTCATAAGTCAGTCACTCTATTGTTTTTTGTGTCACTTTTTTTCTGTTGCAAGCGCCTTCGCTTGAATAGTAAATTGTTCGGCCGTTGTACGCCATAAATTTTATTATTTGTTGTTGTACCCTTGTGCTCAAGTTTTCGTGTTACGCCACCAGTGATTGTGCCCTAACCATCACTAAATATCATCATTGCCATAGTCTGTTCTCATCTGCCATTACGCACCTGGATTTACACTCTGACTCGTCATACTCAGATGTTCGACACCATTACCACAAGATCTCATACAGTCCACCATCATTATCAACAACTTTATCTATTCAGCTGAGTTTATATTATTTTTTAATGTTATTTATTGTTTGTTTTAATTGAGATTAACTATTTTATTTAACATATTTGACACATAAAAATGTATTTTTATAAACATATTAGTTGTTAGGCTTCAGACATTAAATCCATAAAAAAATAAAAACTCCCATTCAAGTAATTATACTTCAAAAATCATAAAAACATTTCATTTAACATAGTTATTTCATAATAACGTAATTTATAAAAAGTTTTTTGTTTTAAGTTTAAAGGTCTTTAAACCAGCTCTCACTATTCTCTGTAGTTTCATGCAATTATATCCCAGCTTCTATTTTTCCTACATCTTTAGTAACACAATCCTCATATATTTCAATTCTATAAACATTTTCTATGAATGATAAGTGATGTCAATCACTGTCTGATAATTATACTTGTCACTGATAGGAATTCGATAGTTTATCGTAGTTACTAGTGAGATATAATAATGAGTATTTAAAAAGTAAAGAAACAGGTCAATTGCTACTAATAATGAGAATAATGGAAAGTCTTTTCCATAGTTGCTGAACAGGTATATAATAAAGTTAAATTATTGTTTTATATTTTAAATATTAAGTAAAGTCATGTGTTATATAAAAAACGTCTGAGCTGAATCCTAATACAGTTGGTTAGTGTAGATTGAGATAGAGTTAGTTGACTTATTGACAATTGGTGATAGACGAGTCGTTGTTTAAAATAAGTAAAATTGTTGACAAAATGAATAATGTAAAAATTATAGTATCGAAAACGGGCGTTAAAACATGATTGCCTTTTTTATTTTGACGTCAATAGCTCGGGCTACATTATATTATATTATAATATAATATAATAAAAATGGTAGGAATAGTAATAAATATCCTTAATTCTCAACATAGCTATATCCCTATCAGGAATCTTAGTATGTTCTATTTTATAGTTTTAATTTAACTGATCATTAACTTTTTCGGATTAAGGCCAATATTTATTTCTTTTAATATAGAAAACATAAATATTTTAAAATTTATATAAAATAATAATATATTATTACCTGAATTTATTAGTTTATTAGAATTCAAGTAAAAGTAAAATAAAACGTAATTAAACAACACCATACATTTTTATCTATTTTTATTTCTAGAACAAATCAAAATAATACATTGTAGACAAAAAAAAATAATTCGAAAATATTAGCCTGGATAATAATATTAAGTTTTTAATTAAAAAATTTCTCTCAAAAACCTCCAACATTACTGTTAGCAATTGGTTTTAAAAACATAGAAAGTACAAAGTCAAGGTATGATCCGGTTGTCTGTTCGTTTTAGACAAACCGGTAACCTCAGCTCATCTTGATGACTCTTCGATTACACACTAACTATGCTCAGGAGCGGTTGACTTATTAATTACCACTTGCCATTGTTTATTCAAGCTTTACTTTTCGATTAATTTTTATTTAGTTATCCCATTCATCTAGAGAAAAGTATTCCGATGACGTATCGGAGCTAGAACTGCTCGACATCATACTTGCCCGACGAAACATTGGAATACCTAATGGGTTCATTCTTTCAAAATCATTTTCGTTTATTTTTGGATTTTCTATTACTGAAACTACTGGCTTCACCGGCTATAAAATATTATACTAAGATTGTATATATTTTTAAATATTTTATTTTGACTACTCGAGTCAAGCAACAGATTGTGAAATCACCACTAAGCAGTTAAATAAATACCAGATCACTTATGTGAAGGATTAGGTAATTTAAAAAAAAAGATACCCGGATAATAAATGAATATTAGAGACAAAAAATTAATCTAACGAACACATACAATAATAAAATAAAATGCATAATTCATTTGAAAATATATGTATATTAATTCTTCATATTATTATGAATTGTTTAGAATGCGATTCATTAATATTCATTTCATATTCCTTTCATGAGTATGACAAAAAGTTAAAAAACGTAAAAAAAATTCATTACAAAAAAATATATATTTTTTTATACATTTTATCTGAAGTATTTGAATTGTAATTAAAAATCTTTATTTTTATGAAGCATTCAAAATGCGATTCATTAATATATGATCCACTTCATAAGTATGATATAAAAAAAAATTGAATTATAATCATTAAAATACTATATCGATTTTAGACATTTATTTTGCTTACATTAAGTAATAATATAAAACTTGAACGATACTCTATTATTAATTGTTAAAGAGGTTTACCTTCAATTTCACGCCGCGTTTGATTTCCTCTATAAGATTTTTTGGTAGACCTGCTGGTCTATAAACCTTACTTTTGCATTTTACATTGTTTTCTGATTTTAGTGGCATTAGTAGAGTATGAGGAGGTGGTGAAGGAATGATACCTGGAAAATATTCATATTTAGATAACATAAACAGTGACTTTTTATGTATACATACAAGTACTATCAAAAGGGTTCATTCTTCGAACATTTTTGTCATCTATAATTGATTTTTCTAATACTTTAACCATTGGACTTACCGGCTATATAAAATCAAAACATCAAACACATATACTAACTGTTTAATTAATATACTCATTTTAACATTTAATATATTGAGGAAATTGTTTTGCTTACATAAAGCTATAATATATAATTTGCACTATACTCAATTATTAATTATTAAAAATTTTACCTTCAATTTCACGCCGCGTTTGATTTCTTCTATAAGATTTTTTGGTAGACCTGCTGGTCTATCAACCTTACCTTTGTTTTTAATATTATTTTCTGTTTTTTGTAGAGTTGGTAGAGTTTGAGGAAGTGGTGGAGCAGAAGGAATAAAATCTAAAAAATTTACATATTTATATTGTATTTAAATTTATATAATTTTTTTGCTGTTTTTTTCTATTAAATTTAAAAATATAGAGTTACCATTATTTTGCTGTATATCCTTTAACTCGGTTAATGTTTTGTTTGTATTTATTTCGTCCGTCTTGTGTTTTTCTTGACCACCAATATTTTTAATCAAGTAATCGGAAGATTCCATNACCACCAATATTTTTTATCAAGTAATCGGAAGATTCCATTAAATATTTCTGAACAATTTCCTGAACGATTTCGGACATTAAATCATCAATGTGATCTATTAAAGTAAATTTTGGTAAAATTATGGAAACTTTAAGAAAAAAATAAGTTGTGTAGTCGGAGTACACTTCCTTATTTTTTATATAAATTAATTTAAATTTATGTGACTGACTGACTTATGACAATGAACAATACACGGATGAAAACCGACACGGAGGTCATCGATTTGCCGTGATGGGTTGGCAAGGGGGTGAGTAAAGCAAGATGCTATTGATCAGACGAAATAATATAATCAATGATCTTTGTAAAAACTGGTTGGGTTGGGTTGGGGTTGGGACCAACTGGTCAACTAGATCATTCTAACGGCGTTCTGTACCATACAAAGACAAAATAAAGTTCAATAAAAGTGTCAGTATTTCCGGAACTCGTTCAAAATCTAAGTTGGACATTTAATTTTTTTGAAAAGTCGTCATTTTGATTTCCCCTCTATGGACAGGTGAAGGGGCAGATTAAAAGAATATATATACCTAATTATAGATAAATACCTAACATATTTATTAAAAATAATTGTATTGATCCATACATTTTTAAAAAGTTATTAAAAGTTATTTATAAAAGTTGTTGTTTTGCGGGTTTACTTAGTGACATAATCAACACCACAATTACTTTATTGATGAAAATTATATTATAATTGAGCACGAGTTACCTGGGCAGGGTGTAAACCGGTACTACTACTATGTTACAATCGTAAGATTATCACTACTCAATATAAAACAATTATTATTAGTATTATAATAAGTTAAAAATATTAATAAGAGACTTTATATCAAAATCGTATATATTAGCTTCGATACGAAGCTGAAAAGGTATTAATTTTAATATTGTGATGGTGTCACGTTACCAATATCGTGAGAATTATTTTAATAAAATACAGACAGCTCATCCGCTGCCCGAGACTGATGAATTAACAAATAATATTTATTGCTAATTTGGCAATAGTTCTAATTATTATAAAAACCCAAAAGACCTGACCATCGTGGTCAGTCGACTCCAGTGCCTTGTGTCATTCATCAGTCTCAGTACTCGGTTGTCGCTGTCCGGCTTACTACTTAAAGTAAAGTCTTTGTTTTTTCCTTTTTAACCTATCTACTCTCTTCCACAACATTTCAGTGTACTTGTGTCTTGCACTTCGTCCGCACCTCGTACTACTTCATTATCCTCTCCTAATAACTAAAGTATTTGTGTCTTGCTCTTTGTCTGCACCTCATATTTTGGGCTCCTTTTTGCGTACACCTGGTATTTGTGTCTTGCACTTCGTCTACACCTCATACCTAGGTGTTACCCTTATTCACTTCCTATAACAACAGCCTTTCGACACCCACAGCTAACCTGGAGTGTCAGCCGAGCACGGTGACTGCTGTACGACAACACGCACGTGAATACCTAGACAGCAGGCACCACATCCTCATATTCATCTTCGCATCACAATTACATATACATTTACATCGTTTGTTTCTTTTCTTTTATTGTGTTACGACAATATGATGTGTTTTTTTGTGTAAAAACTACATGTGTCAAATATGTTAAAAATAAGAATAAACATTTGTACTGAAACTTTGTTAGAAGCTATAAATAATTTAGTTCCAATGACAACAAAAATGAAAGGCGCCATGGATGCTATTGAAAGCTTACACACTGCTCCTTGGTAATAAAAGTACTAATTATGTATTAAGCAAAACTTTTAAACATATAAAAAAAATACCCGAAGATTATAATAAGTCGTTAATCTCACGAAATGATCCGTCTACCTATAAAAAAATATTAATATACTGTAATCAATTTTTTTCGCTAAGAAAAGATGAAATCGAATTATCTTTTAATCATTTTTGCGATGTAGTACAAGTAGATTTGAAATCAATGTGGATTAGTTTAATGAAGAATTACAATAGCGAAAATAAATCGGAGAACTATTTATATAATTTCCTCCATAAAACTATTAAAAATATTATCGATTTATCTATTGACGAAAAGTATTATAAATTGGGATTCATTTATGATTCAAATACTAATCAGACGTTAATACCAAATCCTGATAAAGTAATATTGAAACCACATGATGTTTTTCAAGACCGTAAAGTAGAAAACGTACCATAATTACGAATAATCTTATTTTTATTTTTATTATTAAATATTCCTTCTATTGTCAACATTAAAAAAAACGTTTTTATTATTATTTAAAATCAATATTTTTAATAATAATTTAATTTTAAATAACGTTAGCTACAAATGATTATGATATATTATATTTAATTTTATTTTTTCCAAATTATATTATACCAATTGATGTAATTAATAAAAATAATTAACTAATATAGAATGCCCTACCAAGTCTTGGCATCTTTAATAACTTTTATTCCAGTGAATATTCTGCATTACTTTTTTTATAAACTTTAATAAATTTTTAAAGATGTCAAAACATGGTGGGAAATTCTATATTATATCTGGGGCGTCATTTCAGTTCTTTTTTTGGGTGCGCGAGACTTGAAGTAGGCCATTTTGAAATTTCATCAAGTCATATAAAAATAGATATACCTACTTAAGTAAATTATTCTTCTTTTAATTTTTCTATAGATTATGAATCACAATCAACATAAATAGTGATTATAAATTATATTAATACTTACTATTTTAATATTATATAACGTAGCTTCGGGGTCGTAGCAATCGTTGAATTTTATATCAATCTGTTCATTATCGCCCTTAACTGCGTGACAAAAAAGTCGTGATAAAATCATTTACGAACATCAATATCAATATCTTGCGTCCAGTATGAATAACAATAGTTCAATATGATATATTTATTGATTAATCAATCAATTGATACATAGTTAATAACATAATATTTGTTTATTGACCCATATAATCATGATAATACAATGTTTTTGAAGATTGAATTCATGTTTAAAAAATTGGTGAATCATTTTTTCAGGCCAATTGTCATTGTTTTTATAGTAAGTGGGCAACCGCACCCCCTGACCCCCCTCTCTACACCAAATGACGCCCCCATATTATAATAATTTATAATAATTATGAATTTATTTTAAAAAAAATTCAAATAGAATTGGCCATTTTAAAATGATTGGTACAATATTAATAATGAACATAAAATAAAAATAGAAATATTCTAATTATAAAAATACTAAGAAAAGGAGTGCATTAAAAAAGAGATAACTGTCATTATTTCTAATTCTCAAATTAGTCTTGCTATCAATTAAAAATAATTAAAAAAACATCATTAATACGAGTAGTGTTTCACTAATTAATTTATTAGAATGTGTATAAGTTGTCTAGAAATAACTTTGAGATATATAAAAAAGTTAAAGAAATGTATGTGTTTAATCACACCAGCAAAAAAATACGAAAATAAATCATGGTTTAATAGATAAAATATAAATTATGAAGTAAATTATAGTATATTATAGAAAATATTGCAAAAACATTTATTTATATACATTACATTTATATACAATTTATAGAGTGTTGAGTTAGTAAGGAAACATGTTTATATTGTTCTCATTACTTGTAACAATCGACTTGTTCCCTTTTTTACTGAACATTCTATATCTCACAAACAGTTTAGCATATAAAATTTTTATTTTTTATATTTCTTTAGAAAATTCAATTATAAACTATTTTTATGTGAAATAACCGTTTGTAAGCGTTTGTCAAATAAACAAAAAATCTTTAAATTTGTCTATTTTAAAAAATTTTTGTATTTTGTATTTTTTAGGTAAACTGTTGGATTTATCAAAAAGGTTGTTATTACCGCTTAGAGTATCTATTTATTTAAAAAATAACTAGCTATACGACTTGGAAGATAGGAAGATTAATATACTTTACTTTTTAGTATCAACTTTAAATACTAACAATGATTTTTAAATCNAACTTTAAATAGTAACAATGATTTTTAAATCATAGAATAAGAATGTTAGGTAGTCAAAGATGGTTCTTGGCTAGACCAAAGACGAACGGAATGGGTGTTATGGCCGACTTGTATCACAGACCAGACACTACCAATGAATAAATCACAAGAAATCTCATTGGAACCCTGGTAATTAAACTCGTGACGACGTGCACCGAAACACACGTTTGTTATAATTTAAAATAACAAAATAAAAATATGTTAAAAATGGGTGTAAAGATTGTATGGGTATTTTAACCAAAGTTGGATACTAGGGGATTTGGTCAAACTGTGAGCAACGAGGTTCTATCGGGGTTGTGGAGTCCGAGGGCTTAGAACAACGAATACAAGTAGATATAAAAATAATAAACGCAATATTTCTTTTTTGAGATGTAATAAAGTACAGTCTGGTTGGTATCTAGTAATATACACAATGGTAGCAGAACGACAAGTCAGTTCACGGATACCATGTAACGTGATTGTGTACAAGACCATAACCAACCAGTCTAGTATAATATTCTACAATATTAATATAATGAATGATCTATTGCTTCGTCGTTTTCTACTCAGATTTATTAACTCTAAATAATTGGGATAACATAAATTTACTTACTTCTTTTTTCGCAATAATGAATTGTAAATCAAAGACAATTCGACAATCCTTCTGATATATACACGGAAAAAAATTATGGTTAGGTTAACCACTTAAATGGTTACGGTACCCCAAAATTTAGTGTTTATATAACAACAGCTATGTACTATGGTTAAAATTACCATGCTTATGTGGTTAGTATCTTACGGTTGTTATAACTGTATGACATAGTTGTATGAACTTTTGTTGAATAGGTTGTAGTAACCTAATGAAATAGTTGTATAAGCAATACATTATAGTTAACTTAACTGTACGTTTGGTTAAGCCTACCAAACTAAATTGTTGACTATTTGTTAAATGTTACCGTATTTTTAGGGTATTTTTTTGTCATATACTACGTATAAGTGCG